GGTAAGGAGGAAACTTCCATCTGTCATTAACGAATATTGACGTCAGACAGTTCACTCAGTATGGATTGCTTCCGAATGCCAATTAGTTTGAACAATTGCAGACTGAAATCAGAGCTCGACTCAAGATTCAGGCAGGAGCGTTCCTAAGTACATTTCATCGAGTATGTCTTTGTCACATGCCAAGGGAAACGACTAACCTCCTTCAAGAATATCCTCGAAACAGCTCATATACATGAAGATCTACAGCAGGCGTCGCATCTCTCTTCGAACAAACCACGTTGCACACCCTCTCGGACTCTAAATTAAACCCTAACTTGACAAGCTTCCAACACGAACTGAAACCCTCGACTCGGGTCATTCCCCAGAGGAGGAAATGGAGACGCAAATTGCATCTATACGCTATTACACCATCGATAAATACCTCCACGAATCCGAACAAACATTCGGTTTCCACTACAGCCCAACGCATTCGAGCTCCCTTACTTCACTGACAGATCTTCCATTCAACCTAATACACTTGCGAAAACCCCACGAGACAGAAAGTTTTCAATGACTATAATGAATTCCTGGAAGTGGGTATATTACTGCGACGAAACACACCACACCGCATCGTACCTTGTGAGGCGAGCCGCGATGAAGAGGGGGACCTCGACCAGCAGCGGCACCCAAGCAGCAAGACGCAGCGAGGAGGTGCTGCGAGGAGAGAAACGGGACAAGGGAGGAGTGAAGAAGCGACGAGGAGGCGTGGGAGGGAGAGGAGCGGGAGATGGAATGGATATAGGCTCCTCCTCCCGACGCGGCGTTCCAGCTCACGGCGAGGCCGCGCCGTCCGATGCCCTGTTGGACAATAGCCCTGGCACTTGGAGCAGGAGCCATTCCTGGCGAAAAGAATGGAGCTCATTCATGACAGAGACACACACTCATGCACAGAGAGACACACACTCGCACACACGGTCACAGTGAATGGTGAGCCTGAATTTCCATTCCCTTCCGGACCAGGTTCATTCTCACTGCTCCTCGCTTCCCTCCTGCTTGCTTGCATGCTTGCATGCTTCTTTCCCTTCTTCCCATGTGGGCACTCACTCTCTCTCTCTCTCTCTCTCTCTCTCTCTCTTCTGTTGAGGTTCCATCTTTCAAGGCCTTCGTGTTCACATATTTAATTTGTAATGTTGAATTTTACATTTAAGAACGAATTGTGATAATCAGTTTTCTTTTTTTCTTTTCTTTTTTTTTCCCCTTCTTCTTCTTCTTTCTATGATGGAGAGAGAGAGAGAGAGAGAGAGAGAGAGAGATATAGATATAAATAAACACACACACGTAAATTCAAATAATTGTGAAATTGTTTGACAAGTTTCTGTGATGTTATATTCATTTATTTAAATTCAAATGCAGCTTTTTGAATATGGAATCACATCTTGCATTGATAATTACAGATTGTTGTATTCATCGTTACAACGTCTAAAGACTTGCAATCTCGTAACATTTTCATTTTCCAGTTTCAAAAGAATGGCTTCAGAAACAAAAATTGTCAACTGAAAAAATAGATTTATAGTTCAAGTTTCATTTTAACTTTCATCGAAGATTTTCCACAATAATCAAGCAAACAAGTGCTGTGAATTGGCAAGATGTTACAAATGATTTTCCACTTAAAACCCCGAATTTGATACATTTTAATCTTGAAGTAAAAAATTACAACTGTTATCGAACTGTAAAAGTAACTGTATTGTTGTTTGACTACACACTTCAGTTTTTGAAACACAACATGAATTCCTGTGTTATAACTAAATATCTGTTTTTATTTGAACACTAGCACCGAAAGATCTCAATTATCTTGTATTTCAAAATATTGGCTACATAATATTACTGATTAATAGCAATACATGACAACCAGACTAGTGTGAATGATGAAGAAGCCCATTAGGTAGTCTGATCTCTACTCGTCTCCCCCAATCAACAGTACTCTGTTTAAATGAAAACAAACTTATTCCAACCTTTTTTGAGTCCCACTTCTGATTAGCTTTTATACATTGATTGTTCATTCAAATCTGCTTGTTTCAGGTGTTTATTTTTTTATTTATTTTTTACTTCAAAAACATAAACGTGTATTTGTCATCATTCCCTGTTATAAAACACGTAAGTTCAGCAAATTTCGGAAGAAATATGACGTGGGTTCTGTTCACACTGTGCTGCTGACAAACATTACCCTGCCCGTCGAGATCCCCAAATTCAGATGTGAAAAATTGTCCGAACGCCAAATATTCATCCAGCTGATTACTCATCCAATTAACTATCGGATGTTCAACTTGTTCTTCGAGGATCTTAAGAGGAGCAGGATTGGAGTCAACGATGAGGTGACCGGGTGCGCCGGTCCCCCAGTCCCCCAGGGTGCGGATCTGGCCGCAGCGGCTTGGCTCAACTTCGGATTCCTACGTGGAACCTACGTGGCAATCAACAATGTCGTATCTCTGTACATATGTGCATTTGTATTGGTATTTCCGTGTATACAAGGACCCTCACAAATGTGCACATTCATTCTGAAATACCTCGCTGTGGCTTGCCAAACCTGACCTTGGAGAACTGTTGTATAGGTCATATTGAACACATATTCCATTCAACAGTTAATACTTAGTGAATACCAAAAACTCATTCCTCATTAACCACTGGATAACAGTTTACAAGGGTCAACAACCCTTGTTTAAATAGCAGTTGACATTGGGGAGGTCCCACAGACTGCAGACAAACCAGGGATTCCATTCATAGCCAGCTGCAGCTACAACACCCCATGTGAGTCTGGTGTTCGATTTAAGCTTCTGCAGTGTCATGGGCCCATAACTATATAAAATAGACTTCACCATTTAGTTGTAAATGTTATCTCAAAAATGTTACCTCAATTTAATTTATTTTTCTTCAAATACATACATTTATGAGGTGGAGTGTTTCAACGCTTGCAGATACCATTTCTGAATATTACTGTTTTTTGTATGCCATCAACTTTATGCACACAATACTTGTGTAGTGTCTAATCAATATGTGGATTCTGTTGGTTGCTTCCACTATCATGTGTAAGAATAATTCTTACGTTTCAACACTTGATGTTGATTTTCCTTTGTCAACTGGATCAGCTGATTTTGTATTGTCGAGGAAGTAGACACTTCTCATGTGTTGAGGTTTTCAGAAGAAAAAGAACCCACTGTGAGAGGTAATCACTCTTTGCAATATTACATGTCCATGCCCATCTACTGCCTGTGATTTGTTTGAGTGAGTTTTTCTTGAACTATGTGTAAAAACTGAGGGATATCACTCTATGAGTGTGTATTATTACTACTTTAGACTAAATTGAACCCACTCTATTACACAATGTAACAGTTGTGATACTTTATTGTCCCTGATCCATACACATGTTGATGAATCATAATTTATCAAAAATATTGTAAATGAGATTGAATGATTGATTTGTTATTTATCATTTTGAATCCTTGGAAAATTTACCTATTAGATTTTTTTTTTTATTATTATTGTTTATTTAAATAATAAGGACATTGTTTTAAAAGATGTGTCTAACATGTGTAGTACAAATAGATTGAACTCATGTTTAATTATCACAATGCTATTAATATGTTTATATTATATCTGTAGTGTTTTTTGAGATAATATGAAGCTTTTGAACGAAATTCGTAAAAGATCACCAACCAGATATTAATTGACTTTTACAAGTTCTTCAATAAATGAGTTTTCTTAACATTTGGCAAAGAACCTGAACGTTACATTCTGATCAGTAAATCATTAATTTGGTGATTCTATCAGAATCCATCCAGATAGAATGAAGTAAACCATAGCACCTCAGGAAATCCTCAGCCCCAAATAAACCAATCTATTTTAGGGTTTGGGAATGAAGCAAGAGGAGATAGGCATGGCACCATAGCACCAGAGCTCCAACTACAGCAGCAGAATCGTCACACCAGGGGCGTCGCCGCGTCGCCTGGCTGGCATGGCAAGACCGTGGTGAATGCCGCGGATGCGCATGTGCTCTGCGGAAACTTCCTAAGTCTCGGATTGCGGAAGCGCTCGAGAGACGCATCCATATGACAACATGGTGGAGACAGGTCGCGCGAAGAATTATGCCGGAAAGCAGAAAGTTCAGCGAGAGTCGCTGAGAAGAGCGCGAGATTCCGATGGAAACATCGGAGCCCGCCTCCTCGCAGTTTGCAATTACGGCCCAAAATCTCACCTGGGTGCCGACTTCCTCGCCCCCGAATAGCGGGGTGCGCGCTATCGGACTGTTAGCCTTGGGATGCACGATCGGACGGCTTGTCGTCGTCGTGTACTGGGACTCTGCATCGGGCAGCTCTATAAGCATTCTTGCACTGCGACTAGACAGAAACAAAGTAATCGGTTCTGTGACCTCCATCTTCCTCACTCAGTGCAAATGTGCCTGTAGTGCAGCCTGCTGTTGTGATTCCACACTCTGAAGTGCTCTCTTAGTCGTCGACTCTCACTTTGCGAAGTAAGTTTCTTCGACTTGTGCCGTGTTCGCAACTTGCCATTGAATTTGAAGTCGGCTAGTCTACGAACTCCCCAAGGAGCTCTGCCGCTAGGATACGGTGTCCAGCGAAATGTCTTCAATTTTCGACAGAGGATTTACAATGTGAATGTCGTGTGTTTGATTGAACAACATTGAAATCAACCTCTACCCACATTGTCATTCATTGAGTAACATGGCGTTTTGGTGCGCAGATGGAGACGTTTTTGTTCACCTCGGAGTCCGTGAACGAGGGGCACCCCGACAAGCTGTGCGACCAGGTGTCGGACGCCGTGCTTGATGCGTGCCTGGAGCAGGACCCGGACAGCAAGGTGGCGTGCGAGACGTGCACGAAGACGAACATGGTGATGGTGTTCGGCGAGATCACGACGAAGGCGGTGGTGGACTACGAGAAGATTGTGCGCGACACTTGCAGGGAGATCGGGTTCGTGTCGGACGAGGTGGGGCTGGACGCGGACAAGTGCAAGGTGCTGATGAACTTGGAGGCGCAGAGTCCGGACATTGCGCAGGGTGTGCACGGACACTTCACGAAGAGGCCGGAGGAGATCGGCGCGGGGGACCAGGGGCACATGTTCGGGTACGCGACGGACGAGACGGAGGAGCTGATGCCACTGACTCACGTGCTGGCGACGAAGCTGGGAGCGAAGCTGACGGAGGTGCGGAAGAACGGGACGTGCGCGTGGTTGAGGCCGGACGGGAAGACGCAGGTGACGGTGGAGTACCGGAACGAGGGGGGAGCGATGGTGCCGTTGAGGGTGCACACGGTGCTGATATCGACGCAGCACGACGAGACGGTGACGAACGAGGAGATTGGAAGGGATTTGAAGGAGCACGTGATAAAGCCGGTGATTCCGGAGAAGTACATGGACGAGAGGACGATATTCCATCTGAATCCGTCGGGGCGGTTCGTGATCGGAGGTCCGCACGGGGACGCGGGACTGACGGGTCGGAAGATCATCATCGACACGTACGGGGGGTGGGGAGCGCACGGAGGGGGTGCATTCAGCGGGAAGGACCCGACGAAGGTGGACAGGAGCGGGGCGTACATCGTGCGGCAGGCGGCAAAGAGCATCGTGGCGGCGGGGATGGCGCGTCGGTGCATCGTGCAGGTGTCGTACGCGATCGGGGTGCCGGAGCCACTGTCGGTGTTCGTGGACACGTACGGGACGGGGAAGATAGCGGACGGGGAGATACTGAAGATTGTGAAGGAGAACTTCGACTTCAGGCCGGGGATGATGTGCATCAACCTGGACTTGAAGCGGGGCGGGAATAAGAGGTTCCAGAAGACGGCGGCGTACGGGCACTTCGGGCGGAACGATCCGGACTTCACGTGGGAGATGGTGAAGCCATTGAAGTGGGAGAAGGCGCAGGCGTAAGGAGATGTCGAGAGGAAGGGAGTATATGGCGAGAGGAAGAAGGGATAGGGAATTGAGTAGGGATGGAAGGGGACGGGGTGATGCGAGCTCCCCCCAGAGGAGTGTAGCGCAGGGGACTGCGATTGGATGAATATGAATCACAAAATATTATTTGTTTGTCATGTAAGAGTAAGAGCA